TTTGGCACAAAATTCTTGGCCAACAGTACGTTATCGGTTTTGATATCCCTGTGCGCGAAGTTTACTGAATGCATATACCGGAGACCCTCGACGATAGACTTGAACACACGCTTACAGTCGGGCTCCGGGAACGGACCGTTGGCTTTGAGCCAATCGCCGAGAGAGCCCCACACGGCGTACTCCATGACAATCAGTATTTTCATATCCGTTTGCGTCAAATCGTAAATCTTAACGATGTTTTCGTGTTTCACTTTTTGCATTACTGTAATCTCTTTCCTCAAGAACTTGAGCCGATAGTTGTCGGACGCCTTCTTCAGATCAATCACTTTAATGGCGTTTTGTTTGAATTGATCGAGATTTAGGCCGAAGTACACCGAAGAGTAGGCGCCCGAACCGATCTCATCGATCACTTCGATCTGCTTTTTGATCAATATTTCCGACACTTCTTTGAACAGTTTAGTCTGTTCTGCGACCGGTTTTCTTGTGATGCCTGGCGGTAGTGGTCGGGACCTAAACTCCATCACTCGCTTACGCTTCTCTTCATTGTTCTTCTTAATGGGAATCAATCTATTAATAAAACTCATTTCACTTCTTTGTGTTTAACAGATCATAAACTATAACATAACCACTATTTCAATGATAACGGATTATAACAATCAGATTATAGATTTTAAAAATCAGCATTAATTTCTATACTACAGAACGAGATATAATTAAATTAATGCTTGTCTTAATTGTTGTTAAATGTACTCAATATTGAATGAATTAATCGTTTGCTATATTGTTGTCGAGTGAGTGATATTTAAATTGCATTCATCATTATATGTGACGCCAATTGCAAAACAGGCGAACCGTTTGCAAAGGCCGCGAATCCGAAGACATATCATCACCAGAAAGAAGAGGTGATAAAATTGTTATTCAATTCACAATTGACAATAGGAGTGAGTGAATCCAATGGCCGGCTATGACTCCGACCGGTTTGTCGGTCTAACCCAAGAAGATGAGCACGAGTTGTCGTGTGCTATCTGTAAGAATATTCTCCTGGAGCCGAGAGTTATCCAGTGTTGTCAACAGACTTTTTGCAAGCACTGCATCACTGAGTGGTTTAAACGAAGTCCATTATGTCCGGTCTGTCGACACCAAATGAGGGGCAATGCGTCCGCACGCCTGTCACTCCCGTCTCGGTTAGTAAACACTTTATACTCCTATTTAATGGTATCAAATGCTTTAGTTGATAGCCTTTTGCTTCTATTTTTATGGCACAGAATATTGAATAATCGGTTAAAAAAGTTACGAATCGTGTGTAATCACAAGGAGAGGGGCTGTCAGGAAGTGCTGACATTGGATCGGTTGGGATCCCACTCGCGCTCGTGTCCGCATAGAGACGGTGTTTGTCAGGAGTGTTGGAAAAGCAAATGCGTCCGAAAGTCCGCTCGCAGTTGTGTTACAGCACTGATCGATGAGAACCGGACACTCTCTGCACAGGCAAGTGATTTAGTAAACACCAGTGCCTTCGCCAGCGCTCAACACTATTTATTTTCCGCCTATAAATCAGAAATTTTCTGACGATATAATTGTAATTTTAAACATTACAGAGAAATGACGCCCAGAGAGGACAAAACCAAAGGCAGGGTGCGGGCAATGATGCGGGCAATCCGGAGATCATCGCTTCCAATATGACTCAAGAACAGCGACAACAAGTGGTAGCAATTGTGGCGCGAGTTCGCGGCGGTTATTCTGTGGCCACAATGAGTCGGGATGTGATCAAAGAGTTGAACCGAGTGTTGGGTCAGTGGCCTCACCCGGGATGGAAGTGTTCTATATATTTCAAGAGGACTAACGTTTCCCGACGCAACACTTCGTGGATTAAGTTAAAGTACGGCCACTTAGTCTACTTCATCTACCGTCCCATTCAATTGCAACAACACTTATAATGAATGCATTGTTTGAATTAAAATTTATTGATAATAAATACAAGTAAAATATATTGAATAACATTCTCAGTCTCTTTCTCCTCACTCTCTCAGACACAGCCATTAGTTAGTAATTATTAATTATTATCTTCTGAAGAGATTATCATTTTTTGTCGACTTATTAACAAAGACAGCATTTCTTTGAGCGATAACTTTGGGATGCGTTGACTTGTGTGATGATTGAGTGGCTATTTTTGACACATCTATTGATTTGATTCCGTGTTTTGCCTGCAATTCACTCAATTGTTGATTTAAATACGATATGATATTCTGATTGGCCGTCAATTGGGCCTCGGTTTCACTACATTTGCCTTTCAGCGCATCGAAGTCTTTGCGTAACGTTTGGTACTCTTTATCTCTGGCCTTCAACTGTTGGGAACAGTGCCGCAAATCCGAGTCCAACTTCTGTACGGCGTTGTGGTGCAGGTCTACCGTCTCCTCTTGTTTTGACGTCACCTTAAAATACATACAAATATTTAATTATTAATTGAAAACCAAATAACTATTTCAAGACTCACTTTATTTAAAAGCAGTAGCTTTTGATGTGTTGACTGCATCTCTGTCTGCAATTTCCTAATAATTTCGTTAGCTTTCGACAGGTCTTGTGTTAAGCCATTGTTGGTTACATTCAATTCGTCCAACAGTTCCTGCCTTTCATCAGCCAATTGTCGATATTTTTCTGTATCACTCCTATCGCTGTCTATCATGTCTTTGGTGTCCGACAACTCTTCCTCGAGTGACGATATCTTGCGATTCTGGGCCTCCAATAGGTCTTCGGTTTTAGATAATTGATTCTCAAGTGACAACACCTTACGATTCTGGACCTCCAGAAGGTCTCGATTATCTGATAGTTGCTGTTCGAGTGGCGATACTTTACGGCTCTTGGCTTCTAATAGTTCACGGGTTTCGGACAATTGTTGCTCAAGTGATGTAACTTTTTGACTCCTGGCCTCCAATAGCTCTTTGGTGTCCAACACTTGTTGTTCGAGTGGCGCAACCATACGGTTGTGTGCGTCCAACTGGTCCTTACTATCGGCCAATTGGTGTTCGAGTGCCGATGCTTTGCGGTTCAGAGACATTATCTCCAAATCCTTGTCGTATTCGCGCCTCTGTTCCCGACGAAGAGACTCCGAATTGAAGGCCAACTCTTTGCGCATCTCATCCAACATTTCCTTGTTTTCGATGTCTTTGGCGTTCAATTCGTTGATCAAATGCTTGTGGATCTCAAATATCTCGGGAATGCTGTCATCACAACCGACCAAAACATATACACAATTAAACAATAGTTTTAAAAACATTACTTTTGACAATACAATCGTCTCATTCAGAGGGGGTTTAGGGGTCTGTAAGCCGTTATACATCGGGTGAAGACATTACAGGGGGTGTCAAAGGGGGAGACCCAGGGGTAAGAGGTGTCACGTGTTTTCACATAGCATTCCCGGGCCGGGAATCCCGGCATAACATTTGATTACATTAATTGTCAAATCGTGGGGTCGTATGCCTTCCCCTCCCGGCCATCGCCGACGGGACATACCTTTTGATAATATGTTGCGATTCCTTCATATATGTGTCCATTAGTCGCGATATCATAGTGTGGTTCCCGTCGGGCGACTCATGAGTGGTCACAACATTGTGACCGCTATTACCGGTGCGTTGATATGCGGTCATGGCTTCAGCTCTTGCAGGACATCAAAAGCAAACACATGTATAACTCGTATAACACTCTATAGTAATGGCAAATGAAATGCAATTAAAGGCGAAACAAAACATTCAATCAATCGATACATTCATTCAACACAACAAACAATACAAAAAATGAGCGCAAAATACAGTTGTCATACAAACAGCCAATCGTCGACCCAATACAGCCCTATAGAGTCTATACTCGATATTACCAGTGAATGTAGTTTTGGAATAAACACCACATCTGTTGGCATTTGTTTGCACTGCAAATGCATTGCAAATAATTGAGTCCTGTTTTCCACTTTTGCATTACATTTATATTGCAATACATTTGAGTATACATTGAATCGGAAACAAATGTATCGACAGATGGAGACATTTGTTGATCAATGCATTGCATTAGTAATAGTGGGCGGAGTTGTGGGACATATATAGCGAGCAAATAGTGTATGAATAGTGTAGATGTTGTGTACATATAGTGTGTGTTTCAGTGTTTGATTGTGTGTTGAAGTGCTATACAGTCTGTTAGAGTGCTATACAGTTGTATTGAATACACCAAATCATATGGACATCACATTCGCATCGCTTTCCAAAAGATTCATAAGATTTGTTGCTTTTCTGGTTTACTCTTAACAGTAATTGCAATCATAATAATAATATACGAGATATAAGACACTAATAATGATAATAAGTGGTAAGAAGAGTGAAGTGTTGAGTGGTGTGAGTAGTGATGGACTATACGTGAGAAGTGATGGCCAGTGGTCTATAAGTCGCTACACAACCGGACTGTGCTCTCAGTTAACGACTGGTCTGTTGTGTTGTTTAGCAGTTGTTGTGTCGATAGTATGTCTGATAAGGACTATAAGTTTAGAGTACAAAATAGTAACACTTGAGACCAATTGTGACAAATACGAGACTTTGATACATAAACTCATCGCTAACTATGATTTACTGGCCATTAATGCCATTCAAGACAATTATGACAACTCTCGCAGTGAAGGCACTGTCGGCGCCGATACTGTTCCCCATCTCGTTATGAATGCCATCATTGAGGAGGTATTCAATTACCACACAATACAAGACATATTTGCCATTATATCGTATCATATATTATATATTTCTCTCCTCTTCTGCCCTATTATAGAGAGTAAACAAATATATGACAAGTATTTTGCAAAACAGGACCAAACGAGAGGCGGGACAGGAATGCGGTTGTCCTCCCGGTAAGTGTCCTATCATTCACTCAATTGGTTTCAATTCAAATCAATTTATACATTAAGGGCTTTAGGCATAACTAGATATATATATAATTAGATTAATTTATCTTTCATTTTATATTAACGTTGGTTTACGAGTTATAATGTCGTCAATGTATTGCACAGATTTAGTACACAATTTATGCTACATTTTCATAATGGTCTCAAATTAAAGCATATTTTTCCAATCAATCATTTGTTATTCAAGTCAATGATATATTATTTAAATTGCATTAACAAATATTTATATCATGTATTTTTATTACAATTTATACATAAAATTTATTCTTAAAGTTAAATGTATTTTTCAATTATCAAAATTATATGCTTTTATTAAAGTTTGCTATTTTTAATCAATAAAATAAATTTATTACGAAAGCAATGCTTAGAAAATTTAATTGTCATGTTTTTCTGTTTAATTCACGTCTACTAATAAGTTATGTAATGTGTAATTAAGTTAAATGTATATTAACTAAAACTTACATTAATTTAATTCACAATTTTATTATTTTATGTGTACTTCTCTTATGTCCAACAATTTGTATTCACTATATATATTTTTGTAAAGCATATATTGCTTTATTGCCTCTCTCTCTCTCTCTCTCTCTCTCTCTCATCTCAAATATTAACTTTATAGTTACAAAACGATTTTACTGTACATTATTACATTCATCGAGATTTCACTAAAAATGAATTGAATCTCGGATTTGATTGAATTTTCGTTGACTTTCTCTTTCTATATATGTTTTCACTGACGACTCTCTCTCTCTCTCTCTCTCTCTCTCTCCTATTCTTTGGTGCGAACCGTAAGAATACTTTGTATTATAAGCGAAACAATATTTGTTTTGTTAACTAAAAGTACTGTTAAATCCAGTCTAGAGTTTTGATTTGTGGTTTAGTCCGTACTTATGGACACAAAAGCGTTTACATCAGATATTATTGCAGCGACTGTGAAGTGTATGTACTTCGCATATACTGTATGTGTGCCTAAATCAGTGCTCAAACCAATTATATTTCACTTTTTATTGCAATATTTTGAGATTCAATGGGAAATATTTGGCATTTTATTTATTGATTTTAGGCATTTTCGGTCCAAATTCTAAACACATAACAAAAAAGTTTATTTCTTTTTTATGTTATTTGTGAAAAATATTATATACAGTACTTTATTATTCTGACTCCTCTTCGGCTGATTTATATACAAATAAGATATGAGTTGTTAGTCATTGGGATTGCAAAATATGAGAAGGAAAAAGAGGCACACCTTTCGTGAATTGATGTCTTTTTTGCCTCAACTGTGCTTAACATCATAACTATCTCTCTGTCTTTGAATATACATAAAATTTGGTAGTCTTTGAAGAGAGAGAGAGAGAGAGAGAGAGAGAGAGAGTAAAATAGAGAATATGATTGCATAGCAAATTGGCTTTGATTGACAAACACTAACATTTAGTTTTTTATATATTTTGATTGATATACTGAATAGAGAATAGGAAAGCGTATAAAAGCTTAAAATCATTTTTGTATTCACTCAACCATATTATTAGTCATAAATTTTATGACAAATTTTCAATCAGTACTCAAGAATTATAAAAGAAAAGAGCGCTCTTTAAATCATTTGGTTCTCATGGAGTGTATGTGTGGTATATATGGGCTGTAAGTGAGGTATTGTGTGGTATAGTGTGGTATGGGCTGAGAGACAGATATAGTAGAGATGGTTTGATGTCTGGAGATTTATGGGAACAACAAAACGAATTATAATGGGAGGTATCCCGAGCTCAGAGGCACAGAAAGAGAGAATAAAATTTTAATTTGTTTCCAATACAAGTGGTTTGTGTTGTGTGTATATAATAAAATTTGCAATTTTCCCAAACCTTTTTTATTGCCATCAATTACCCAAATTTCTATATATATTTCTTCTTCGCTGAAGTAGTGAAAGGCATCGGAAGAAATTCATTCAGTGGGCAATAGTGGGAGAGATATAGATATGGTATGTAAACCAGTATTTTATGTTTGAATACAATAACCAGTAAAAAGTGAAATGACAGGCAATAAAAAGTAATTTGAGTATAAGAATAGTCACACCCATTAAGACACCGAACAACAGATAAAACTAAGAAAAAACAAATTTTCTTTTCTCAAAAAACACACACAGATATACAGTATATGTATATATTGTACACACATTTGGGCTTTTGTCTCGAATTATCTAATTTTATTGCTTTATTGAGGCCATCGAGACGTGTAGTCGAGACCATTGATCACTGGAGACCACCATTTGGTTTGCTTTTATCATTGCATTGCAATGTATGGGAACTTTTCACTGGAATAGCTCTCCGCCAGAAATGTTTGGTCGACACTCGCCTTTCACTCCTCCAAAGTGTACAATCGATCAGTCAATCAGTGTTTTTAAGTTCGCTTTAATTTATTTTTATATGTGTTTTTTGGATGAAAAATACTGTTTTCGAGTCAAACATTCAAACATTTTTTTCCCAAAATAAAAATTAATGTGAAGCAAAAGAGCGTTGAAAGTCTTTAAAACGAATGCAGATTTTCTAAACGGATAACACATTTAAAAAGTGATAGAAATATGTGAACCAAGAGATTAAAAGAATAGATTATATTTGTATTCGAGAGAGAGAGAGAGAGAGAGAGAGAGAGAGAGAGAGAGAGAGGAGACGAGGGCAGAGAGATATCTCAAGAAGTGTTGGCTCACACAGGCATCGGACAAATGGGAGATGCATTGAATGGCAAATTGCAAATGCATTTCATTGAACTTTTGTCTCCATTAAAAGCAATACTTATATGCATTTGAAAAAATACAGAGAACTCTCTTATACTCGTATTTCATAAGAATATCCATTGTATTGATTGACTCATCAAAAGGCATGTAATTTTCTTTAATGCCTCTCTCTCTCTCTCTCTCTCTCTCTCTCTTTCTTTCTTTCTCTCCCAATAGTCCGATGCCTCCAATGCCCTCTCCATTGCATACCTGTATAGCTGTGCAAAACGTTTTTATAGTTTAATAACTGTATTTATACCACTTTATTATTATTAAGAGTCTCTTCCCTCTCCTTTCCATTCAAATCACTGTTTGAATGACTGCTTAAATAATTGCTTATCTCTAATCTCACGACACAACACAAAATACAATTTTTACAAATTTGTTTAATAGCCTTACGATTCAATATTAATAGATTGTGTTGAGTATAACATGTATGCAAAGGAGATGTGCCGAAAATAATTGAAAATTAAATTTTCTTTATGCGAATAGAAAAATCACTTCTCATTTGTTTGGCTGCGGTTTCACTAATAGTATGGATATTAAAGGAGAAGAAGAAAAAGAGATAAAATTGTTTCATTACATCGTCTGTAAAGTCAGCGAAAAAAGAGTCTTTAATAAAGGAATTCTTCTTTTTAGAAAAAATTAAATTTTTCTTAAATTAAAATAAAGTTTTCTTTTTATATACACTTTTTTCTGTCTCTTAATTGAATGATAAGATGAAGTGAAGAAGCAATCAATGAAATTAATTTAATACTGAAAACACATCTTTCCTTTTGATGTATCTTTACGTACGATAAGAGTTAAGACCAGAAGAGAAAGAAATATAAATAGTTTTTGCCTCCGAAATGATTGAAATATTTGTGGTCTTCTTCTATAGACCATTAAAAACACTTTTTTCTCTCATAAAGTGATTGATATAATCGAGTATTTGATTGAAAACTATTTTGAAAACTAATTAAAAAATGCCATTTCTTTTCTCGTAATTATTTTTAATGGAATAAAAGTTTAATTAATTAAAATAATACCCATAATCGGGAAGGGGGTGGAGGGGTATACGGGTGTAGTGTAAACTCCGGGATTATTTTAAAATAGTTATCTGTTTAATACCGGCGCCCATGAATGCCAGGACTAGACTCGAGAGAGAGAGAGAGAGAGAGAGAGAGAGAGAGAGAGAGAGAGAGATCCAGTCCTTGAGATAGACAAATCTAAGATCAGAATTTTTCTTCATTTCTATGTATATCTCCGTAATATTTAAACATTTTTGTATAAAAAATACCCAAATATCCCATTAAATAATAAATTACTTTGAGGTTTGTTTGTGTAATTCATTTTAGTAATACAAATGTTCATGGTATATTGTCTACAGAATATATATAATGTAGCAAAACCTATCTAGATTATAAAATGTATAATATTATCATGTTTTCAAATATACAATTTTCCAATAAATCTTGTGAAAAGTTTACTAATAATAAAGAGGTGGCAGTAATTAAATGCAATCAATAATAATAATGAGACATCAATATTGAGAAATACCTCACGTATTCATTGCATTCATGTAATAATTAAATCATAAAATTGTATTTTTATAATAAAAATAATCGCAATTCGTTACACGAAACTTGATTTTTGTAAAAACTAAAAAAAATATTTACTTAATTTTTATTTTGCTTTTAAAAACGTTTTCTCGTTTAATATAAAGTTATGTTTTGATAAAACAGTTTGATTTGTGTCCATAAGTCAGAACAGCTTTACTATAAGTGGAAATGTTGAACGAATTGACACCATTTGCAGCACTAGAGAAAAATTGATATTAAATTTGAGACTTAAATCAACTCAAAACTCGGAAATCTTGAAGAAGTTTTAAGGAGTCAATCAAACCATTTCACTATCGATCACATCGAGAATGAAAGCAATAAATAAATAAATACCACAAAAATAACTAAATATTAAACAAGTTTTTCCAAAAAAATTATCTCAATTTTGGTTAGTTTTTTGAGGAAATATTTTTACCAAAAAATTGTCAAAACTATTAAGTAATTGCTTAATGAAGAAGAAAAGAAAAACTTTGATTTCTTTTCCCATAATTTGTTATTCAGTCCCAATTTGTCTGCAAATAAATCGATTTAAATATTTTTAATTTAGAAAATTTTCAAAATATATAATTAAATAAAAATATTAAGAAATAAAACGATTTTCCATTTCATTAACTTGTAAGTGATTGCAACCGAAAAAAAGTTGTCATTAAATAAAATTTTATTTATCTAACGAGAGAGAGAGAGAGAGAGAGAGAGGCATTAAAGAAAATTACATGCCTTTTGATGAGTCAATCAATACATTGGATATTCTTATGAAATATCATAAGTCGAGTGGAGATGAAGATGTCTTTCCACTTATGAGGCCTTTATTCTAGTGAAGGGTTCGCTCATAACCAGAGAGAGAGAGAGAGAGAGAACGCGTCAACTTTTTTTAAATTGAAAGATAAGACAAAAATCAAAATTTAATTTTGTTTCAAACACTTATATCAAGAATTACTGATGGGTTAAGAGTTCGGAGTTTTTGCAGAAATAGTTTGTAAACCGAGAGATAGAGAGAAAAGTCCGCTTTTTATGAGCGATAAAGTATTATGTCTTTAAATATGAGATGTGTTTCCATTTAATGGCAACACAACCGAAAAAAGTTAACATTTCAAACATATTTGCCTTTTTATATAATTGTGTACACAATATATTTCCTAAGAAAATATTACTCAAAGAATTTAATTATAAAACAAATATTAAAAAAGGCATTCAATTTAATGGATGAGCGAACAGTTGGGTATGAAATGGGCAAACATTGGTGGGGTTTCGGTGGGGGCGGGGGTGCCATCCGTTTGGGAGAGACAATTGCTGGACAACATTACTATGAGAGGGAGAGGGAGAGAGAGAGAGAGAGAGAGAGAGAGAGCGAACTCGATGTTAGCAAACAGTTGTTGTTTCTCTTGAAGAAGTGAACAGAAGAGTTTGCATTTGACTAATAAATAGTGTATTTGTGGGAACTTTTTGCTCACTTAAGGAGTGGAAGTGATTACAAGAATGTGAAACACGAGAAGATAGAGTGATTTCACTCGTAGTTAAAGCCATACCAAAACGCTATCCATCTATGAAATAGCCCTGAAAAATGATTGCACTTATAGTCAAACACACGCTATGGTTCTCTCTCTCTCTCTCTCCACTCAGTCTCTCTATCACTCACTGGTAATCAATCATTTCATTATTATTATAAATCTTAATACAAACAATGCATTTNATAAACGCCTAATTAAATGCAAACACAATACGAAACGCAAAACATTTACAACACAATCGGTTCCTCCCTCTCTGGTTATGAGCGAACCCTTCACTGGAATAAAGGCCTCATAAGTGGAAAGACATCTTCATCTCCACTCGACTTATGATATAATAAGAAGTTTTACAATAAATTATCCAAATGTGAGAAAAGACTGCAAAAATAAGAAATATATAATTTAATTATTAGATTTTGAAAGATATGATGTAACACTTCATTCACACAAATCATACGCTTATTAAACAAAAGTTTTATTTTTTAGTTTTTCGTTGTTTATCTGTTTGTCATATAAATAAGTTTTTAATTATTTTAATCACTTTTTTGAGATTCATTTAAATTGTAAATAAGGGAAGAAACCGATTGTGTTGTAAATGTTTTGCGTTTCGTATTGTGTTTGCATTTAATTAGGCGTTTATTAACTCATAAATAAAATATGTGTTTATAATATACTGATTACATATTGAGAGAGCGATTCATTAAATTTTAAAATTCATTTCTAATTCATTAGTCTTTGACTGCAATATAATTATAGTTTAGATTTCAAGAGTAATTCAATTGAAATACGAGTTTAGGGTTAAGACTGAACTTAAGGCTGAAAATGAATGAATGAATTCATGCATTCATTGGGTTTTTGCAATTCATATGATACTTAAATTAACTGCAATTAAAATTTCGATATTTATTTTTAATGTAAATTCTTGTCCACAGATTTAATGAGAGACTCATTGATAATGACTTATCAAATGGTTTTCTCATCAAATCATATCAATTAACAGTTAATTGAAGCCAATTATTGAGACAACTATTTCTTTCTGCGAGGAAATAACTTTTGGGCCAAAGTTTAAATTAAATTAGAAATTACTACAAATTCAATACATTTCTAACGACATCTGTATTCACGCTATAAATCATTGAAACCTTATGAAAAAATAATGCATTTTTATAATTAACTAAATTAATGTGTATTTTATAATTAAAATTTATTTAATACTAATTTAACTAAATATTAGATGAAATATTAATAAAATTTACTAAATTATACTAATTATTAACAGTAATACACAAACAACGTGCCATTAAATTTAATTTAAACGCCGACACAGTGTTTGTGAATTGCCTTCAATTAAAAGGCAGAAAAAATGAGACAATTTTTGAAAACATATTTTGTTTTGATTTTTTGAAAAAACAATTTATGGCTTAAAAAGTGAATGAATTGAATGAATGAATGGTTTAATGATTTAATGGTTTAAATAACTAATTGTTTCGCCTATTAATGGATCCCAAAGACAACAAGAAATTACTGATTGTGTCCTCAAATGACTCGACGACTGGTCAAAGAGTTGTCGATGAAATTGATAACCATTTAAAAGACATCAAATTTAACGCAAGTCTTGTATTGGTTTTGTTAATTGTTTTGATGATTAAAACGTCTCATTTGATCCACAGGTCACTGAAGACTTGGTCTATAAAACGTGTCACAAAATCACTTTGGAGTCGCTTCCAGAGGACGAACAGCTGATCCAATTCAATACAGTTGTCATTATCGGCGCCGATCTCTATCTCTACCAAAAGTTTAACACAAGAGTCCGAAACAATGGATCCAATGATAACATAAAAGTATATGTTTTGTTTGGAAATATAGACACAATTCAATTCAAACCATACATTGCTTTGTTTTTTGTAAATATAGTTAATCTTTGCGGACGTGAATCCAATGTTTGGCTATTTGTTTACCGATTTTGGACCAAATTATAGACATTTAACACTCGATGAGTACTATAAGACATCGTATGATAATAATCACGTATTGGATAAAGTGAAACAATGCACATATCAGTCCAGTTTTGAGCCCTTCAAGCTCTGGAGAGACAAATCACTCGAGAGGTGTTGTCTCATGACATCCATTATCTCTGGTTTTATTTGCGGACAACTCATTGATAATTGTTGTCAACAATTGCTTACATATGAAATAGATCCGAGACTTCTTGAGCATCGGTTCGGAACCACTGAACCAATAGTTATCATAGGATTGGGTTCTTTGGGGTTTTGTATTGTAAAACATTTGGTCAAAAGTGGTGCCAAAAATTTAGTTCTTATTGATTCCGATTTCGTTCATAAATACAATATAAGAGTTAATCTGTTCCGCGAATGCGATATTGGACTCAAGAAGTGTGATGTCGTCAAAGACTTTGTGCTTCGAGATAATAAAGACATTACTGTTGAGATTCAGTGTCGAAGAATACAAGAGATAAGCCATCAGTTGTTTGATGACTTGCGTCTGAAGAAAGGTCTCATAATTAGTTGTGTCGACTCCACAGAAACCAAACGCTTTATAAACAAAGTCTGTGTTAATCATTGTCTGCCATTCATTGATGTCGGAATCGATGGTCACATGTTTCANACAAAGTCTGTGTTAATCATTGTCTGCCATTCATTGATGTCGGAATCGATGGTCACATGTTTCACATTCAGCCAATTGTTCCGCATTTAACTGAATCTTATACCAAATATTCTGATTCTTCAGACCCGGAGTACCCGCTCTGTGTCCTCAAGTCATTCCCGCAAACCATTGAACACTGTGTCGAATGGTCTAAGACTAAGGTTTGGATCAGATTTATATTATTTCATATTTATATAAACTTTGTTTGATTTGTTCTTCAGTTTAATAATTGGTTTAATATACGACCGAAAAGAGCCAACGATTGGACGGAATGTCTTCGCGTCTCGCGAATGACTTTTGAGAAGTTTTTTAATCAAAAACCAAAACAATTGTTATTTGTTTTGCCGTCGAATCACAAGAGCGAAGACGGATCAGACTTCTGGTCCGACAAACGTATACCACATCCGATTGTCTTTGATATAACCAACGATTCGCACAAAACATTTCTTACTTCTTGCGCACAACTCATCGCTAGAGTTAATGGCATTCAAATAACGGACAATACAGTCGTTTGCGAAGCCATAAACTCGTTGGAAATTCCAGAGTTTGTCCCAAACAAAGATAAAACTATTATAACTGATCCGTCGGTTATAAATCCCGTGAAGAATACTAATTGTGATATTACTCCAGAAAATGATACATTAAAACCAATTGTTTATCTCAAAGATAGTGAACAAGATTTGTTGTTTATATCGACTTTAACTGTGAGTCTAATTGTAAACCAAATTAAAATCTAAATTGTATTTTATATCCAGAATTGTAGGGCAGAGACGTATGGCATCGAAAAGGTGTCAATTGAGAAGATTTACCACATTTACAATCAAAGCATTCATTGTTTGAATGCAACGATATTCACCGCTTCGGCTATGGTTTGTAAATTGTTTACCGTAATTATTAATTCATTAATTAATTAAATTTTATTTTATATTTCTAGGTTTCAATTGAATTAATAAAATTGTTTCAAATGAACGGCAAATATAAATTGAAGTTTGAGAATAAGTTGCAAAATGTCAATCATTTTCACAATTTGTGTGAATTTGAATGTAATGTTTTGTCGACGCCTACTAAACCAATGTCAACAAAACTGTCGGATACCTATAGTTTTACAGAATGGGATCAATTGGTGATCAATGAATCGGATGGTGTGTCCACTCTTAAGGAGTTACTCAATGAACTCGAAGCGCGAACGCAATGCATTTGTTTAGGACTTGTGTTGAATGAGACAAAGTCTATATATTTGCCACAACTCTTCCCGCATCACAACAAACGCAGGAAACAAAACATTAGAGATCTTATCGTTGATTATTACAACACTATCCCAGAGTTTGTCATTTTTAACACTACTTTTCAGTCAGAATTGGATGAAATTTTAGGGCCAAATGTGAAATTTATATTTAAATAATTATGTTTCAATGTATTTCAAAAATTATATTTATATAATAAAAGAATTAATTTTAAAAATCGTGTTTAAACTGATATAAACTTTTCTATAATAACTATGAAGTATGAAAAAGGGATTCTTCAACAACTTGTATAGTGTTGCCCAACACTAGGTTGGGTTCTAGAATTGATTCAATATGTTATTTACATGAATTAAAGGTACTACTAAATTTATTAAAATATCAATTAACATTTGTTATAATAAAATATAACTTTTAGCTCATAGTAAACACTTAAACGAGTCGTTGGAAGTCTAAAACAATTTTCTTTAAATATAAAAGCTTTCTAAACATTTGTTTTTCACTTTAAATTAGTTTCAGTAATTGTATGTAATATTAATTACTATAAAATAAATTCTGGCAAAAAAGTTATTAAAGTTTATTTCATTCACGTTTTGCTAAATCTGTGCACAAAATGAAACCAATGATAAGTCCAACGAATCCAAAAATTGTAACATTTTTCTTACTTTTAAATAGTGTTATATTAACTATAGTTTTGCTCTATTCTTATGATAATAATAATAGAATTTTTCAATTAAATGAAATCTATATACGAAATACATTTGTAAATTCATTACAAACTGCAAAGCCTTTACGGATATTATGTTTAGTGACCGAAACCAAAGGGTATAATAAGGATAGGGTTCGGGCGGTGAGGGAAACGTGGGGTAAGAGATGTGATATTCTGTATTTCGTTAGCATTGAAGAAAATGCTGACTTACGACCCGTTATCGATAAGTGCGATAACGATGATCACGACCCCATTTTGTGCCATGATCAATTGATCATCAAATACGTGGTCAACAAATACAACAATCAATTTGATTGGCTCTTAACAGTCAATGACTTCTCGTACGTTATTATCGATAATTTAAGACATTTGTTGTCCGATTACGACCCAAACGATCGCATTTGGTTTGGATATCCTTTTACCAAAACTGTGGTCAATGATCTGAACGTAACTTTAATGAGTAAAAGTATATCTTTTTGCAATTAATTAAATTTCAATTATTAAACAATTATTAATTTGTAATTTTATTCAGAATTAGGTTATGTAAGTGAAAGTAAACCTCATTAAAATGAATCACTAATTGATTGACAATAATTTGAAACAAAGGCATTGAGTGGAGGAGCTGTTCGTGAATTGATAAATGACTTTTCAAATGATAATAAATGTATGGATTATAATAAGTTAGAGACGGCTTTAGAGCAGTTAGAGTTTGGAAAGTATGAGAATTGAACTAAAATAATATTTTATAAACAAATAATAGACTATTGAATACAATAGATGTCTACTTGAATTGAACATAAAATTGATGGATGAGAGAGACGACCTAGGTCGGCATCGATTACTACCATCACATCCAGGCGTTATGCTTAACGTTACGACCAGTCTTGATAAGCCATTCAAATGGCTAAACAAATATAATTCATCTGAATTTAATCTGGTATCAAATATAATATTTATTAAAATATATTCAAATTATTAACAAATAGTATTGTTTAGGGTATGAATTGTTGCAGTACTTCAAGCATTTGGTGGCAAACAAAGAGTCATCAAGAGATGTATGTCTTCGAGTTCTTTATGTATTATCTCAATATTGATATTATTTAACATTTAGTGGCATTTTGTTTGATTGTGTGTCAGTTAAATATGCTATACATTTATTTATTACAATAAACTAATTTATTGATTTTGTTGCCAATAAATCCTATAAATTAAAGGTTTTATTTTTCTTTTAATTTTAATGAATCGTCAATTCTTTCATGATTTTAATTATGATCACACTTTTTGGTGAATCTTCATGAAATAACAAACATTATTACTATTGTTACGTAATTAACTAAAATCACCAATGTCTTATACCATTTTATAATTAAAAATTTAATTAAATTTTTGTTTGCTTTGCAGACAAAGTTTTCAAATCATTAGAAATAGTAGAAATAAAAAAGAAATACTTATTTTTTAAATATAATTATATTTCTGGTAAACAATTCATAATATAATGAGTTTCTTAATTATATTTATAAGTTAATGCATTTCTATAGCAATTATTGCTTTTTTGAAAGATTTACGATTAATGAATGTTTTAAAATGTAATTTTATTGTATGTGCAATAGTGATATGTTTTCACATGTCACATAAATTGTTTGTGTGACAAATAAAAACATATCATTATTGCAAATATAATTATTATATATACAATAAAATTATATTTTAAACATGTTGTGACAAACAAATAAATAATATTTCATTAATATTGAGTTTATTCGTCACAAGAATTTGAATATATTTGAGTTAAGATGACTTCAATGATAAGCCGTTTGAGATCTATTAAAATACATCCAATATTTTTGATAAAATCTAATGAATCGATTAAATTCACTGATTTAGAAAAATTGTTAACAAAATCTTTGATTATGATCTCTCCATCATTTGAAGACTACATGATTGGCAATAAACCTAAAACTCGTTTATTTGTTGCGCTTATTATAAAGTTTGCATCACTTCTAATACTCATCCGATTCCTAGTGTCCGCTCTTTTCAATACACCCTATATTCTGGATCTAACGAGTGATGCAAACCATTTGTTAGGCAATCAATTGCTTATTTCTCTATTGACAAGTTCTGGAGCGTTGATAACCAATACAATGGTCGGAGGTTTGACACAACTTCTGGATATGACCTCTAATTTATCGGTCATTGAATACTTATATGATATACAAAGAGATCGCAACGATAATCAACTCAACAACAAATACCGGAAACTCTTCTGCAAACGCTTAAGATTAACGTCGAAACACATGTCGTGGCCACTGGTCTTCACTCTTTGGTCGGAAGCGATTCTTGTATTCTGTTTCCCATCGATTGTCGCCTATTTTACTCCAAATTCTGGCTATAGTTTAGTTTATGTCATATTCTGGACTATCTGTACATTGATATTCCTGTTTGACTTTAACGTAGTATTGGTTTCTGTGTCTAAACTATTTTTCTTGACACTAATTCATTTGAAATATCAATTCAAACAACTCAACGATTCAATGAGAGAATGCATTCAAACTAAAGAGACGTCTGAATTGTGGCAATTGTTGTCACAACACAATTCTCTGTGTGTATTGACCGCTAAACTGAACGCAACGTTTAACTATTATATCATGATTTTCTATATCTTTTCAAAACCGGCGATAAATATATTGGTTTACATATCACACGCACCCGACTCTCACACATTCACCAGAATTTGCACATTTATTATATTCATGGCCTGTTTTTCGGCCGTTTTAACCATTAATATTCTGTGCGCTTCTGTCACTACATCCGCGCATAAAGAGCTCAAAAATGTGTATAAATTGTTTAAGATTAAGGAAATGTCGCTCCGATTGATTTATTTTCACTACCGGAAATAACTCTTCGACAGCCCTTTCAGGTAACCAAAAATAACGATATTTAATATAGGTTACTTATTAATGCTCAAAATGTTTATGGACACGCCAACCCGAATATTAATGAATCTGTTAATCTTATTCCTTAAAAAGAGAGGATATATTTCACATTAATTTTATTGAATCGAATTAATTAATTAAATAAAAAATTAATTGCTTTATAAATGTATAATGTAATTTTTGTTAAATAATAAAATAGTATTATTAATGTAAATAAATTTATGTAAAAAAATTATTAAAATCATTTCAGACTGTAAAATATCAAATTTGTAAATTTAACATGTTAATAAATGCAAATAGTTTGCAATGATTTGATTACTGATAATATTTTGTTTCTATTCCTAGAAATAACGATTTCTAGAGAGCAATGATTTAAATGAGGGATAATTAAGTAATGGCACAGAAAAGTGAGTATAAAAACTAAACATAATAGCCATCCATAGCTTTTGCCTCAGTCTTCGGCCATCTATTCACTCGATCCCAGACCGTCATCAGTGGTCACATTAGCTGCCATTTGTGTAGTACTCTCGCGAAGATTCTTCCGATTGGGACAGACGTGTTGGCCGTGGATGTGATCTTTCATTGAAGATATAGATGTCGTGTTAAACTCGCAACCCGTGAACACACACACAAAGCTCCGGCCGGTCGTTGACATCACTTTCTTCACGTATGAGTCGATGTTTTCCCGACGGCAGACACCGGACACGGGTTGGGCGGCGATTCTATCGAAGCCATAACCGCACCGATGATGGGGATGTACATACTGGTCAGCAGCTGCCCACCGCATGTAGCGCAATGTCGGCCTCACTCACGTTGCTTTGGCAACGCCCTCTCGAGCTCCCGCCGGTATCTGTGCTACGCTCCGAGCGCGTACTGACCGCAGAGCAATGGGTGTGACCGCCTGGTAATGGCATCCCTCGCGTCGACACTTATACACCCGTTGGCGGTCAGCGTCCGCCGATTGTACGCTTATGATTGGCCCCGGAGTTAAGCCGCCAGTCGATCGCCGGCTCTCACACCACTCCACGCCCGACGAGTCTGACTCCCCGTCCATAGTATGCCAGCCGTCCTCCTCATCGGTGGTCACGTACTTCGGGTCGAAATCATCGTCCGATATAAAGGACGCCGACGGAGAAGGTGTCGCATAAGCGTTGGCCACCGATTGGCGCAAGTGTTGTGTCCGCACGTGTGCAACGATCGCCTCTTCGCTGTCCTCGACTTCATTGCATTGATTACCGCCGATGAGACACATATACCACATCTGGCCATCGATTGACGCCGAGTCATACAACGCTTCCAACGAATCCATGTCTTCGTGTCGACAACTCTGATCAGTGGTTCACTAATTGTTAAATCAATTACTCGTTAATAATGTTTAAAACGTTTTTTTCGGTTAAACTTTGAATGAAAAGTTTTATTACATGTTTGGCAGTAAATGTTCATAAAGTACAACAGATGGGGGAATACTTACATAGCCGTAGATTTATAGCGTTAACACTGAGAGGGGGTTATAATTAAATCATGTTATTTATGGATAACTGTATAATAAAACCCAATATTGCATCAATGAATATTGTATTGTTATACAGTCCGTCCCCTAATTTGGCATATCAATAGCGTTAACACTGAGAGGGGGTTATAATTAAATCATGTTATTTATGGATAACTGTATAATAAAACCCAATATTGCATCAATGAATATTGTATTGTTATACAGTCCGTCCCCTAATTTGGCATAAGTAACTACGACACTTTTTCAACACGGTTTTAACTCAAGACGATTTTAGCCCAAGTAATCGTCACGATTATATTGAGCGGCCACGATTGTTTTGGAATACGATTTTAGCTTAAGACGATTTTACCGCTGTGCCAAAATCGGGGACGTACTGTACTTTTATTACACTATTATTGAAAGCCATTTGATGTTAAGTTTATGTCTTTAAGACCTCTTTAAGAATACAAAGAGATCGCAACGATAATCAACTCAACAACAAATACCGGAAACTCTTCTGCAAACGCTTAAGATTAACGTCGAAACACATGTCGTGGCTAGTGTTGTGAGTTCTGTCATATGACGTCATATAACACTTTACATTACAGTTATATGACATGTAAAATGTAATATAAAAATTTTATATTACAAAAAGTGTAATATAGCTCTGGCGCCATCTATTGACTGGGCAATTATCATATTGTAATTAACGCTATTATTTAAAAAATTAATTGAAAAACAATAAAATAGCCATATAAAGTCTATTTCAATAATCTATTGGCAATACAAGTGATGAATGTATTGTAAATTTAGCCGTGATTTCTAAATTAGCATTATTTAAGCAAAATGTGTATTTTCTATATTACACTATGTGACGTTATATGACGTCATATGACTGTAATATGTAATATAAAAATCTATATTACATGTAATTTACAACACGACTCGTGGCCACTGGTCTTCACTCTTTGGTCGGAAACGATTCTTGTATTCTGTTTCCCATCGATTGTCGCCTATTTTACTCCCAATTCTGGCTATAGTTTAGTTTATGTCATATTCTGGACTATTATTACATTGATATTTCTGTTTGATTTTAACGTAGTATTGGTTTCTGTGTCTAAACTATTTTCCTGACACTAATTCATCTGAAATATCAATTCAAAGAACTAAACGATTCAATGAGAGAATGCATTCAAACTACAGAGACGTCTGAATTGTGGCAATTGTTATCACAACACAATTCTCTGTGTGTATAGAGTTTGCAAATAGTTTGCAATGATTTGATTACTGATAATAATTTTGTTTGTACTCCTAGAAATAATTATACGTAAAAATATATGTCAGAATAATTAACTGAATATTCATTAACAATATTATTGATTACGTTATTGTAATAAAAAGTTTTGAAAACTTTTAATTCAGACACTATTTATGAATGAATAGAAAGCCTTTAATAAGCATTCAATGGACACGTGTTTTGTGTTTATATTTTTGACAGCGCTTTACGTTTGCATTCATTTGTAATTTAATTGTCATTTCAATCAACACTTAAATTGCATTCAATTTTATTACACTATTATTGAAAGCCATTTAATGTTAAGTTTATGTCTTTAAGATCTCTCTTAACAAAGTTTAAGAGACTATTATCACTGGAAACAAGTGTTGATCACAACCAGAGAATTGAATCACAACTGATGGCAACGATTATCAACTCATCGGTTAAGAGGAAACTCAAGACAGACGAAGAGAGGGCTGCGGAGAGAGCAGCCGATGGCCAGACATCGGAGGTAAGCGTGGGATCAGTTGGGATCTACTAAATGTCTTAACCATATGTTTGGATGTGTTTCGCGTTAGTTATCAACGAAGAAGAAGAAGAAGCAGAAGGCGAGGGAGGGGTCGACGGAAGCGCCAAAATACTCTTTGGATGACTCGGATTATTACGTGGAGAACGGACTCCGAAAAGTGTATCCCTATTATTACACATACTTTTCCCATTGCAAGGGCCGATGGATGGGACAGGAGTTACACACTTTCTATAGCAAAGAGTTTAGGGGTCTCTCCGACGACCAGATTGTATATCAATTTCGTATATATCTTACCTTTTAATTAGATTTGTTTGTCGTTTGATTTGGCGTTTGATTTATTTTTTATTTGTTTGGATGGATAGCGAGAGCGCATTGAAAACGGTTTACTTCTGGTCAACAACTCTAAGGTCGCCATCGATTACAAACTGAAGGGAAAGCTGTGCGAAAGCGTAGCTGAGGTAGCCGTGCTCTCAGGGCATGACAGCCGCGGGTATGGATAGTAAGTGAGCAGGCTATGCTACGAACACCAGCTGTTTGGCGGGAGATAAGGGCACTCACGACACGTGTCTCCAGTTGACTGTCCCGACTCATAGCCTAACAACTATTGTTATTGTATCGCAGATCCATCCGTGCGGTAAATACCGACACAACACACTTCAACACGTGTTGGCCAAAGAGCACAAAATTACTGATCTCTACAGTTAGCGATTGAATCTATATTTTATTGATTATTTTGTTGTAAAATAATGTCAACTCTATTCCTGTGCAGCCATTCATCGTTTGGATCGATTGACTTCTGGAGTATTGATGTTCGCGAGAACGGCGGCCACCGCTCAGAGACTACACGAACAGATCCGTAAACACGAACTCGAAAAGCAATACGTGTGTCGAGTTGTCGGCAAATTTCCTGAGTAATGCATCCATTGTTTTATTTGATTTAATCGTTATCTAATCATTTTGTATCTACCAATCAGTGGTGTCATAACCTGCGAACAGCCCATCGAAACGCTATCGCATAAAATCGGCATTAATGTGATTGACCCGAACGGCAAGCCCTGCACCACAACCTTCGAGCGACTCAACTATAACGGGAAGAGCAGTGCAGTGTTGTGTAGACCGAAAACGGGACGAATGCATCAAATTCGGGTTCACCTCCAATACTTGGGTCATCCCATACTTAACGACACTTTCTATAATAACGACGCCTTCGGTCCCAAGAGAGGCAAAGACGGCGATTACGGCAAACCTAAAGACGAGGTGATCCAAGATATCGATAAACAACACCAACGAATGCTTTATCTCTTATCAAATGTGACGGAATTGTCGGCCGACGAGCGAGAACTGGACGATAAGCAGCGAGAGATCGCTTTAAAAGCGTTACATCACTACACGAATAGAGAGGAATGGCATTCATTGGTCCAAAAGTATATATTAATTGTTCGTTTAAATTGTTTGTTAAATTAATTGTTCATTTTATAGGTATAAATTTGATACAAATGCGTTGATAATAGACACCGGTTGTGAAGAATGTACAAACAAGACAATTGATCCCAACCCTAAAGATCTGCTAATCTATTTGCACGCACTTTGTTATAAAGTAATTATCCATTTATTTGAATGTAATCAATAACTCGTTATTTATATTAAATGTTGTTTAGGGCGAAGGTTTTGAATACAAGACAGCGCTTCCAGTCTGGGCTTTGGATGATTGGGATTATGACTGATATTTGTAGACTTGATTGCAATTAATTAACTTTTTTAAAGCAAATATAGTTTATTTGTAGAAATTTTTAATTTACATTAAAGTAATTTTAAATACAAAAATGATTCATATATTTGTCCGAAAGCTTTAGAGAGCTTTTAAAAGGCAGCGTTCGGTGTGTCGGAGGAGTTGTATTGTATTGGTTTACATACAATATCTCACTATTGAATATCATTTTACAAAATGTTTTCAATTAATAAATGTTTAAACAATTAATGGAAGGACTGATGAAGACATGGATTCAGTAATTAATATCGTCCATATCATAATTGCCACCAAAATCCAAATCCGAAGTATTGGTGTCCAAATCGGGATACGATTCGGAATCGAGATTTAAATCTTCAAAAAGATTGGTAAAAGTGGGCGGAAGTGATGGCGAATCAGGTTTATGGAAGAGATTGGGGAACAGTTCCCAAAAAGGTGTAGACGTGCGGGCCTTTGTCTTAAGCACATTCAACGGTGTCTTTGTGTCCATTTCTGAATATTTGAGTCTCAAGTGTGCGACGGATTGTTTTTGTTTGGTGTAATAGAAATGCGCGCAAACGGCCAAATCGGGGTAATGGCGGCGATCCAGGGCTTCGGCCTCCGGATAGCCGAGAAGACGAACGTACGGCAGATCTTTGATGCCATACTTGTCGACAATGGTGTTTACGGCTACCACCAGTCGATCGTTATCCGCTTTGACGGCCTCTAACTTCTTCCCTTCGGTAGACATTTCATCCATGTATTGATACGAAAGGTAGAACACCTGAAGACCCGAATAACGCAAAACGAGCCGTATTTGCATAAACATTGCGGACAGTATTGGGTCACTCGGAGCGGGCGTTTGGGGTGACATCCAATGCGGCGCCGGATAATCGATAGCGTATCGGCTCAGAGCGGGCACCAGATTCTTGTAGACGAAAAAGCGTTGTTTTGTCACCACAAACAGTTCCGGTCGGCACTTGAATGACAACTGTTCCATCAGATAGTGTCCCTCCAGACAACGGGCGGTGTCTACGAAGGCTTTCAATCGGCGTTTCATCCATTCCTCCAGATATCGTGTCTGACTTTTGGCCGGCAGTGAAAACAGTAGGAAATAGTTGGCCAACAGTTGATCGTCGGACACAACCGCCGATGTGTTTAACGGGAGACCAAAAGTGGCCTCAAACTGATGGTCACCGATGCGGACAATATTGTCGGCAAATACGGTCTCAATGATAGCCATGATATTGTGCTGATCCAGAAGAATGGCCGACCAGAACAGCTGATGGAAGCCATTTCTGGCGGCAAACTTGCGGCGCTTGGGATCGGCCAACACTTCCGACCACTTGTCAAAGGCGTGTGAACTCGACGTAAAGTACTTCAGCCGAGTCTTCAACTCCTTGTCGTCGGCGGCGCCGTCGGGCAGAACCAGTGGCGGCAGTCGTCGCTTGACTCTTGTCCGCTGGCCATCACCAGCAGCTGATCCGTTCATCGATGTGGGGATCCGTTCTCTTTAGGTGTGTTATAAACTATGGGTGATGTCTTGAGGACCACAACAACAACACAATACACAGACACTCAATGGTAAACACTTTGTGTTTTTCATTGTAAATGAGCGCCACTTTTGAGCAACACTTGTAATCGCATTCACTTTAATTGCATTTAATACTTGTTTTGAGGTTTAATTATTAGGTTTTGTGACCACGACTTTGAAGACATGGAAACATCTTAAGGATATCGTGTCTTACATGAGGTGTTGTGATTGCAAAATGATATAATATAAGATTATAAGTAAAATAACTAAAACAAATCCAAAGTAAAAAAATTTCATAAAAACTTTAAAACAAATTTGTTTTTGCGGTATTTTTATTAATTTGAATATTTAGTGCAATTATCAGCCAATTGTTTGTTAATTATTGGAGTTTATATAGAAAAATATCAAAACAAAATTGTTTTTATTGACTTCATTTAATTAACTGTAAACCAAAAAAACATTTATTTATTTGTTATCCAATTTATGTTTTACTGTAACTTTTATAAATTAATAAATTATTGTTTTTATACATATAACTTTGGGCTTATATTTAATTAACTAAGCCTTTAATTAAATAAATTAATATTTAACTGATATTTAAATGAAAATTTTTATTTTAATAATAAGATATGTAATGATAATTATCTGTTGTATGAATTCTGTACAATGTTTTAAATCATTTTTAGGAAGTATTATTGTAAACATATCTTGTTTTTCATTTTTTATATCAAATAAAATATCTTATTTTAATATTTTCTATATAATATGCAATATTTGAATGTGCTTTCTATCAATTAGGGTCCAAATTAGCTGTAATTAAACCAAACATCTGATTTATATTTCAATACATTATGTCGAATACATCCTCTTCTGGTGTCGGAAATATAGCATCTGTTTTGGGATATATTTATCACGTTATTAAGGGTTGTTTGACACGAGTTAAACATAATTAGATAATGAAAATCATTTAAACGTTTGTTATCAACATTTTATATAATACTTTATATCCGTTTTGAAAAACTTTTATATTGTATAAGAATTGATGGAAAATATATTTGTTTGCATTTCAATCGATATAATAAATATCATAAATTTATGTAAAGCATTATGTTAAATTTAATTGTAATCTTGGTATTTATTTTCCAATCGTCAATATGTCATCAAATTTATGATGATTTACTTGAGAGTCAAGTGTTTGCGAAACAAGATTTTTTTGAAGGTCTAAAAAATGCCACAAAACTCGGAGCTGTCTTTCAGATGCCAACTGATCCGTCAGTTCAGTGTTTGGATCTCTCAATGAAAAGCGAATTGAATGTTATTTATCAAAATCTTACCGATAATACCATTAATGGTTTTGTTCATGTCGTCAATGATTACAATAAATCTGTTTTAAATTTACAACAACTGGTAATAAATCTATTTTTTTGTGAAATTAATTTTAATTTTAATTGAAATTTAAAGTTTAGTGAAATCTTAAAACAACTCAATTTGATTGAAGTTAAAAATGTGAATTTGGATCAAAATAAACAAATTGAAGAAACACTGAAACATGAATTTTTAATCAAACAAATTGAGAATAAAATTAGCAAATTTAGTAGAAATACATCTCACAAATGGATTGATAGCGTTGTCCAAAACTATATAAAATCTGTGCGAGAATTAAAAGTAAAAAATATTTTGCATACAATTGAAGAACAGGTAAAAGTTATTAATAAATTATAATTTTTACCAATTATGCAAACTTATGTTATTAACTATAAAATATGAATCCAACAGTTCCTAAAAAGTCTTACTGTCGATGAAATGTCGAGAATGACAAAAGAGTGTCATATAAAATATGAAACTATTTATGAAATTTTATTTGAAATCATTGAACACAAAGAGATCATAACTAAAATTGTTAGCAAAACGATACCATTGAATGACACAAACGACGATATAAAGAAGATTTGCTGCGATTTCTTAAAATTCTTGGTAAACGTGACGGACAGACAGGCGATTGAAAATTACATTTACAACAAAATTCCTGCCGCCTATCAAAACAAACTAATCATGGCTTACGAGTCGGGAGGTTTGGCTAACTTGAAACGAGTTCTGCAAACTATGTGCGGGTCGTCATCGGTGGCGATGGCTATGATCTTCATTGCGCTGATGGATGTAATCACACCATTGAAGAGTGAGGAAGACTACGATAGACTGCATAAAGTGTTTCAATTCATTCA